GTTGGCCTCATTCACAGAGACACATTAGAAATAGATAAATGCTAATCCTGAGTGCGGCTTCGGTGGAGGATTATGAAGCAGTCTATCGTTATGCTAATCTCCTTTTACCTGATTAGCCCTAGTGGATTGAAACCTTAGCAGGACAACATACAAACATGAATGGTTTTCCAAACACTGTTCTCAATTCAGGGAAGGATGTTGGCACTTTTAATGTTGCTAAATCAAAAGACTGCCCTCTACTGGCACATTTTACACTCCAACCTTTTCACTTCTCATTTCAGAAAGCTTCAGCTGATTTTCCAGAACCATGACAAAGTAAGTTTTTGCACATTAATTTATTCCAAGAATGTATAAATACTTGAAATATTAGACATTAAATCATTTAAAACATCATAATCAACATTTAATAGGCATTTAAGACCATGATTCCTCTGTATCCTAAAGACTATTCAATATTTTATTCATATTTATGACACCTCTCTAGATTAAGCAGCCTTCATGTAATGCTCCTACACCCTGTTCATTAGCAGTATTAAATCTGTAGAAGTCTTTTTGGTCTTCAATCCTAGTGGATTAGCAGATTATAAAAAATCCCTTTTAGAGTGGATTGACAGAATTACCACAAGAGTTTAAAAGTAACAGTGCAAAGTTTAGCATATGCAGATGACTAATCACCTCATGGAGACTAACATTTTAAAAGCATGCAAAAGCAACAGATATAGAACTCTCATAATGATTATAAGTGATTATAATATCAAGACGTTATGTTTCTACAGAGTTTACAAGAAGACTAGTGGCAATGGTTCGGTAAGGCTCCTTTTATATTGCTTATACATCCCCTTACTTGTCATCTGCTCCACGTGCACATGCTCTCAACCAGGATTGCCAGATCTGAGCAATAAAACTAGCCCAGTGACCCTAGCCCAAACATCAAAACTCAAAACATGCCACTCCAATACCTAAAATAGATATTTTACAGTCACTGTTATGCATTACAACACGATTTGAAATCACTATATAGGCTAGTAGTAATCATAAAAACTATCTGTTTTCATAAAGGACCTCACAGTAGTTCAGTGGCTCCAATCCCTCACAAAACTCATCATCTGTAGCACTGTTAGGTAGCACCTCCCAACATTTACTCAGTGTCTGGTATCATAGCGGGCAAACATGGATTTGACTCCAGTTAAAGAATCATGCACAGGATGAGTGTTTCCAATAACACTGCCATTTATTCCAGACAAGCAGCAACATCTATTAAATTATATAAGGCACATTGAGGTAGAGTACCCGTTACGTTGTGGTCTGTAACAACAAATAATACAATGCAATTACAATGTAGAATGAGAATTATTGAGTACAGATTTACACAATGCAAATCACTAAAACTGGAACCATAGTAACAAATACACACTCAATTATCAAATATAGATATAAATATCAAATGGAAGCGATAAAGAAACATTCTTAAATATATTATCTCAACCTCACATCGTGTTAGGGGTGTTAAATACCCAAATTTACATGTGTAAACAGTCCGCTCATGCTCGTTAGCTCTTAAGGCTAATATAATAGGTTAATATAATAGATTTTGGTTCCGGAACGGACTTTCTGACAAGCACAGTTTTATCATTAGTAGAATATAAAATAGGTAAAATATATCAATTTAGGCATTTCAGTCAAATATAATTTATGCAACATGTCGAACCTTTGCATTTTATGCAATATGTCAAGCTGCCTGGGAAAACAACAACCCCCTGGAACAGTTTAAAAATAGCCACGTTCCGCAGGAAAACCGCAGACTTGGCAACCCTGCTCGCAACATATTTATAAGACACAAGCACACATGATAATCAACTCAGTAATCATTTATTACAGTTATGCCTTTATTTGGGGAGAAGAGACTTTGTGGACCATGTGGAACGTATTGACCCAGTTGGTACGTTCTAGGCTACTTTACGTTGAAAAAATATTATTCCCTAACATTGTGGGAAGTTTTTACTTCTACTTTTTTTAATTAAATGTATATATGTATATCTATACACACTACACTTTTCTAGTTCAAAAGACTTGTAATTTCCCTCTCAGATGGGGTGCTCAAGATTGATCCTTCAGCTCTTAATGGAAGGAAGGGTATGATTTAATGTAATACGCTGTCAATATGAACATTTGTCATTAATTTAAATCATTTAGACAATCTAAATTATTTATTTTTTTAGTGTGGGTACAGCTTGCATGTGCCTTCCGCTATGGCAGAGAGGATCTGGATGTGATTGGAATTTCCTTCAGAAAAGACATCTGGATAAAGCGCATTCAGATGTATCCCTTTGAGGGAACCAAGCCCCCAAACACACCAATGCAGGATGCGCTTTTGAAGAAAGCTGGAGACCAAGGACATCCCTTCACTTTTGATGTAAATTCACAATTATGCATTAAGAATTGAGAAAACAATCAAGGACATCCTTCATTTGTGTCTCTCCTGTTCTGTCTCAGATTCCAGTACATCTCCCATGCTCAGTGTCCCTTCAACCAGCACCAGAGGACGCCGGGAAGGTACAGTAGCAGAAATACATGAACATACACAAATACACTCACAAACAGAAAACTGTTTCTCTAATATGTAACATGTTTACTCTTACAGCCTTGCGGGGTTGACTATGAAGTCAAAGCATATATTGCAAATGAAGAAGACGAGATAGATGAAAAAGTTGACAAGAAGTATGTACTGCTCCATTTTAACATAAAGATACTCACAAACGAAATGAATAAAGTTTTATTCTGATTCCAATATTTCTACCAATAATAGGGACACTTGCCGTTTGATTATACGTAAAATCCAGTATGCACAAAATGAGCTAGCAGCCGGACCCAAAACCGATCTCAACAAACAGTTTATCACTGCAGACAAACCAATTCACGTGGAGGCCTCCATGGAGAAAGAGGTACAGTGTATTAAATACCTGTTGTAGATAATTTATGAAATTGGGATGTTTTCATCATATGCAGTTCTGCATTCACTGTTCACTGTTGATTTCTCACCCTTCAGCTCTACTATCACGGAGATCCCATTCCTATCAAAGTTAAAGTGAATAATGAGACCAGTAAAGTAGTGAAGAAAATCAAAATCAGTAGTAAGTATTTTTATTATTCATTTTAATAAACAAAACAGCCAGTATTCATCCACTCACGCAATGTAAAAGTGATATATACGATTTTTACATATATACAATCAGCACAAAAAAAAAAAAAACTATAGAAACCCTTATAGAATTTGTAATGGTTTTAATGGTTATAATGGGAATTGTATTGGATTTAATGGAAAATTTAATGGTCCCTTTGGGTCTCTATTGGTAATTTGTTGCCTTCTATTGATGGCATGTTAAGACTATTAATTCCTAATGGAATAAGACCCAAAACACAGTGTCAGGTCTAGTAATAAAACCAGCCCAAAGGTCAATTTCACAGGAAAACCACAAACTTGGCAACTCTGCTACTGGTGGAAACCATTTGGTAATGATTTTAATGGCTTACAGTTTATAGATTGTAATGTGGTATTTGTAGTGGAATCCATTAGAAGTTCTGTGATGGTTTCTATTGCTCTGTAAAAGCAAGATGGAGGAGCCCGTCTGCTTTCTGCTTAAGGTTAACTTATATATGCCACGTTTCTCTATTAGTGTAGCGGTAGCCAAATACTTACCTTGTGACTTGACATTATTTAGCAAAGCCAAATGTATCTCAGTATCGTTATATATTTCGCTTTCTTGATTTGTTGCATAAGGGGGGTGTGGACGGACAATGTGGTCGAAGCGCGTGTTTGTTTTGGTCTGAGATGATGTAGTGGTCCCGTGCGACATCTAGTGGTTACAAAGCGTATATAGAACCTTTGAATGAAAGAATGATTCATTACTGCTTTTAAGTAGAAGTTTGTTTTTCCCACAATGATCCAGAATAAACTTTAGCTCATTGTATGTTTCAGTTCAGCAAATTACAGATGTACTGCTGTACTCATCGGACAAATACCACAAATGTGTCCTGAATGAAGAATTTGGGTGAGTGCTTCACATCACATTTGTGAATTTGACTGAGAATTTGTAGTATAATTTTTGTAGCACATTTAATAAATGATGTTAAACTGATCAGTCAAATAATATAATAATTTTACACATTTTTCATGTGTTTAAAAAAAACTTCAAGCTTGATTTTGATTGTTCTTGAGAGGTGAACAAACCCCTTTTTGTAACAGGGACCAAATTAATGCGAACTCCACCTTTGAGAAGGAATATAGAGTCACTCCTCTGCTTGCCAATAACAAAGAGAAACGTGGCCTTGCATTGGATGGCAAACTGAAAGATGAAGACACCAACCTGGCTTCTTCAACAATGTCAGTTAATCTTTATTACAGCAATTGAATATGTCCTTAAATAGGTAGTTGGAAAATGTAAAAGTCATCTGCATTAGACAGATCTTCTGGCGCATCCCAATGACATCTGTAGCCTACATCGTCGCGTAATTCACCTTAAAAGCGCATTAGCATGACAAAGCGGCGATGAAGAACCGTTTGAGAGAATGAAGATGCTACTGCGTCACTTTCAGTTTAATCCCATTGAAACTATTGGTTAGCTTAACCATAAGGGAGAATAACAAACGTGTTCCGAAGTGCATGTTTGACGAACGCTGTACTTTAAAGAGTTGCGGTTGTGCTATTCAAAATACAATTATGTCCGAGAGATATCGCTCAAATTGCTGTAAATCTGTAGGACAGACTGTTGCGAGGTCTGTACTCGTGTTGTCAAATGTCACAGTAAATATGCTGGGCAAATACAGATCAGAGAATATTGTTTTGTTAAGTTTGTTTCGCAAACCACTCAGTAAAACTCAGCATCTGACTCTATACTTAAATAGCAATTGCGTGATTGTTATAGGCATTAGCTAGTTTACATATTCTGTTCTGCATCGGGTGTATTATAATTTTATTGGGCCGTGTGAACTTCCCAGCATACACTGCGCGCACTACGTTGTTTCCGGTTAGCTACTGGCTAGTATCGTCAGACACCGGGATGATCAGACCTCATTCAACGGGCCCGTGTGTTTTAAGTAAACCCGCTGGTCTTCGTTATTGGAACTGTAATATCGATGATTGCCGTCAGCAGTACGAGAGTGACAAGCATTGGTCCGCTAGACGTCAGTTCATTGTGAAACACATTGAAGAGTACGAGGGAAATGCTCTTGATAAGCTACTGGCCCTGTCGATGGTCTGGGTCAACCATGTTTTCCTGGGATGCAGGTGAGAATTGGGCTGTTTAACTAATTTTGGCGGGAGTTTGAGTGAATACTAATATCACAAAAGTCCTGGGCAAAGTTTATTTTGTGTCATATTTATACAGACCATCTTAATTGCAAAGTTATACATTAGTAATGCCAACCAAAGCATGTTGTCAACAATATGACTGTTCTTTTTTGGGCAGGTATGGCTCCCAACTGATGCACAAGGTGCTTGAGATGGCAGAAGGGATTGATGTTGGCAAAATGCCCTCATATGAACTAGTTCCAAACGTTGAAGCAAAAAAGAGGCTATATTCATCTGATGGAAGTAAGTCTATCAATGCTTGAACTCAATCTATCTGCCTGTTTATCGACCAGTCAGTCTTCCTATCCATCTACCTATCCATATATCACAGCATTGAAAAGTTATTCTGTGGGTGTTTTGCATCAAATATATAAAATGTAAATATTTTATTCAGCATTTAAACAAAATAACATTGAGTAATCATTTGCATGTAAATGGATATTTTAATCATATTTGATTTCATATCTCAGGTGAAGAGCCCATGAGGAAGATGCCTTTGTCAAAATTCACATCCAGACCTCGATTTGAACCAGTACACTTTGTAAGTGGCGGAAGCAGTGGCAGTCGAATTGGAGAAACTGACGAAAAAGAAAACGAGAAGGAGCGCAGGAGGGGTGAGATGAATGACGTAAGACAAAGGGAACCAGATCATCAACCGTATAATGGTAACCGGTATGGTTATGATTTTTTGCCTGAGCACAGAAGTAAGGACGTTGCCTCGGGTGGCACAAGTGGGCTTGGCTATGGCAGCAGAGGGTCCACCCCGAACTTCATGGGCAAGGTGCAACAGGAGTACACCGCTAGATATGAGGCGCATACTGCCAGACAATCGGACTCATTCTCACATGCAGGCCGAGCTAATGGATACGGAAGTGCTGGACGGTCTGGAGCCTGGGATAGCGGACGGCGTGGACTGGGATTTGGACACCAGGATAGACCGACGTCCAACAAGGCTTTCAGCAGGTTATACGACGGTCCAAGCAGAGGCGGCTCTGGCCTTCTCCCAACACCCTCACTGCTGTTATCTATCCCCACATCAACAATTGACGAAAAACAGAGGCTGATTACCAGAGTATCATCGGCCGTTGCCATTACCCTGAGAGATCCTGCGTTCATGAGTGGACCAGACATGCCAAACTACAATTTCATACTCAGCCGCAGCATTCAGGCTTGCAAGACGAACCCAGAGTACATCTATGTTAATTTAAGAGATATTCCACCCGCTGACCTTCCTAAAAACAGAAAAGTACCCTCTGAAGGATATGCATGTGAACTTAGGTGTCAGTCTGTGTACCTTGCCACAGGGTACTCTGGAAGCAAAAACGGTGCCAGAGACCGAGCGTCAGAACAGGCCGTCAAGCTGTTCATGAGGCCGGTGGAAATTCGTGTCCTGCAACGGCTGTACAAGCATACTTACGTTAATGACATGGTGGTGTGCCAGGTTAACACTCCAAACCCAATCCTCCCCCCACCTCTTCGCAACCCCGAGGACAAGCCACTCCCTAGTACCAAGGGCCAGTATGAGCCTGACCGAAGCAAACACTGGACAGAATTTGTAATCATGGAGAATGCACATGATGCCATCTGTATACTCAACAACTCGGCTGCGTTCAACCGCATGAAAGTTGATTACACTTTTGACCCGGTTCCCAACAGCAATTTATGGCTCTGTAGTGTGTATTTACAGGACGAGCTGGTGGCACAAGCCAGAGGGACCAAGAAGAGCTCAAAACATGCAGCGGCAGAGGTGGCAGTAAGGAAGTTGCGAATGAACCAGGCTGCTCGTCAACAAGAGCAGCAACAGCAGCAGAATTTTTCTGGAGGCAACCACACTACAGACCAGCCTGGCAGTCGCTACGCCCAGCAAAGCAACAAGAAAGCACAGCTAGGTGAATTGGTCATCCTTGAAAACTCTGATAACGCTATTTGCATAATAAATGACACTGCTCAATTTAATAAAGTGCTTGCTGACTACAAGTTTACGGTTCTGCCAGACCATCGCTGGAGGTGTGAAGTTTACCTCGATGGTCAGTATGTGGCTGCTGGCCTTGGACCCAAAAAGACAGTGAAGCACATTGCAGCAGAGGAGGCCCTCGCCACACTTCGGCGCACACAAGCTGTGGTGAAGTCCAACCTCAGGAAAGAGGGCCATGTGGATGCAATTTCCCGAAATCAAATCATGGCTCATTCTGGAGAGGAATCCATGCGGCAGGAGATCAAGGAGGACAACATTGGTAACCAGCTACTCCGTAAGATGGGCTGGACAGGAGGTGGTTTGGGTAGAGAAGGAGAGGGCATTGCTGAACCCATCAAGGTCAAAGAGCAGTTTACCAGGGAAGGACTCGGTATGGACATGGACAGGCACAGTAATCAGCTAACTAAGCGTGATATTGAGGAAATAATTCGGAATTATGCGAGTTCAGACCGTCAAGATGACCTGCGCTTCTCCACAGAGCTTAACAATGAAGAGCGCAGGCAGATACACCAAGTATCCCAAAGATATGGGCTGCGCAGCAAATCATACGGACAGAGCCGACAGCGCTTCCTCGTGGTTAGCCGCAGAGTTCAGAAGGAACAGCTGATTGGTCAGCTATTGCAGGAGGGGCAGGTGGGACGATATGAACTGGTGAAACCTCAGGCTTCACAATGACTAGGCTCAGCAGGCCTCTGAGAAACCAACAGATGACCATTAATAAAAGCGAAGTGGTGTTACTTGTTACTTTTCCTTTAATTTGTTTCCGAAGATTGTAAAATATTTTTTTTTTAAAGCCTGGAAAACTTGTCAGTTCTCAATGACTACAGTGTGTACCCTTTGCCTCTCTTTACCATGTATTTCTGTACACTTTGTCCAGATTTGTCATAGGTTAGCTCAAGACCATATGATGAACACATGTTACCAACTTAACTTTTGTCATATATATCCTGTGAATTATATTTATTGATATGGATGTTAGTAGTGGGGCCTTATGGCAGCATGTGCTCTTCTCTGAAATGACATTCCATTTTATGTTTTCACAATGGACAAGATATCATTCACTCAGTCTTTCATCTGTTGTAACACTTGAAATATAAAAATATAATTTAAGTAATTACAAAACAGTATTTTTTTTTTTGTCATTTTCTGGTTGTTGATTGTAGAATTCAATATTTATCTCAACCTTAAATCTTTCAACTCCCTGTCTGGCAAATGCCTGAACAGCAATCCCTGTAAAGTTTGCTATTGCGAATACTGTCAACCAGTCTGCTTGTACTGACACATTAAATTTAGTCTGGTCATTGTTCATTTTCTAGCTCATTTAATGAAATGTAAATGCTTATCTTTGTTAAAGAACAAACCATAGAGTTAATTTTACTGTTTATTTACAAGAATTGAGAAAATGTACAGTTTCTTACATGGGTTACTAGTGCAAATCCGACACTCTTGGTAAATTAGAAAAATGAAGATTAGCTTAAATGGATACTGCATGACAGCATCACATCCATATGTTTGGAGAAGCAAAATAAACGGCACTTTAATGGAACTTAAGAAAACAAGCAAAATAATGCATCTGGGGTGCAAGACACAAAATAATATTGTGGGACAGACAGATCACTGTGTACCTTCGAACAATTACTGCTGACAAACTGGCACATAGTGTCAATAGGCAACACATGAACTGCTTAATTAAAAGAACAAAGCACTTGCACTTGATAAAAAAGGGCCAATTCCAACATTTGGTACATTACAATTTTCAAGCTGGTTTTAAAAGGTCAGGTTTTCCAAGTGCAGTTATAAAGGCATGTTTCTGAAACATCTAAGCTTTCCGTACAAGACAATATATCATCCATCTTTAATGTTCTTGCAGTTTAATTTGGAACTCTGAAAGACACATTAAGCGACATTCGGTATGACACTTTTGCAGAGACTCAAAAGAAATCACTCTCAACCAACATGTTAATACCCAAAATGAAATCAGCCCACAGTGTAGGAGCAACTTATAAAACCAAAGAAATAAGATGACAAAAATGAGAACAGGCCAAATAAAAGCAAGTAACCCTAGCAACAATATTTTGTAAAACTAAGGTTCATCCTCATCTAGGATCAGGTTCTGCATGAAGAGGGAGACCACAACACAACATCACTCTAATCCTGCAACAGCTACAGAACAGACAATTCCACAGAGTACATGGAGAATGATTCAAAACATGATGTGTTTTATTTTATTCTTAGCAAGGGGGTTTTCCTCTTGTTGGCGAGGCGGACTATTGTTCATATGTGAACTGTAAGGAGGGTCAACAGTCACGCCAGCTTTGTTCCACAATGGCCGACACACGCTTCTCATACTCTCTCTTGTTTTCCTGATACAGCTGAGCTGCCTGGCTGTTGGCAGGGCTGTTTGGGTTCGGCTCATCCAGTAAAGACTGACAATGAAAGGCATGTTAACAACCTGAATAATGTCCTCACATTTTTACAGTACTATCAAAAAGGCATAAAGAAGAGTTTCAAGCAAAAATCATGCTAATTAAAACATTTAGTTTCAGGTTCCTACACATTTTCCAATTTCAAAATTCCATACTTTTCCAGACTCAAAAAAGGTTTCTCTGTAGATTTTCAGACAATATTATGAAAAATAAATTAAGGGTGTAACGATTAAAGGTCAAATTCACAATATGAATTTACAATATGATACTCTCCAACTACTACAAACCAGTGTTGTCATAGTACCGAAATTTCAGTAGTCGGTACCAATAAAATTTCACTTGTTTTCGGTACAAAAGCAAAAATATTTGTAGCATGTAGTCTAAAAATATTTTTCAATTAATTAAACATTGCTTTATAAAGGTCAAGTGAAAAGTTTGTAATAAAATTAATAAACAAATGTATTATATAGAACAAGTGGCAAGTCTATAAGTTATCTATCTATTTTTTTGCCCCATCCACTGCTATGGTTATCACCAAGACAATCATTGCAATTTCAGATTCAGTCCCGCATTTAAATAGTCTGCACTCTTGCAAAAACTCCAGTTATAATCAATGAATACATCTACACTGCACAATGAATCTCTTATTTTCATTTTGTTGGTTATAATGAAACCACACAAAACTTTAAGTGTGTGCTGAATAAAAACTCCATCATTCTGAGCAGTATTGAGAGTATTCTCACTAACTTAAACACGTCTGACTGGCCAGAGCGATCACACGTACCACCTTTCCTGCAGAATGGCTGGTATCATTACATTTTTAAAATTTCAGTATTGACTTTGTAGTGTAGTAGTAGTGGAACTGTTGACAGCACTAATGAAGAAAAATTCAATTTGAATGTTTGTTTTAATTACTTATAAGACATACAAATTTGTTTCTTTAATTATAAAAAAGTGCTTTTCATTGCAAAATGATCCATCAGGAATGGAGTGAGACAAAAAATCTGCCAAGCACAGGGCAATGGTGACACCTGAATAGAAATAATAATAAAATAACTTTTTTTTTTTAGAAATTCTCAATTTTATACTGTAGGAAACAGAGTGGGGCAACAGTCTGGAAACACAAACATTTATCCATATTGTTTTCTTTTTTCCATACTTATCCAGAGATTTAAAAATACTAAAAGAAAATTTTATACTTTTCCATACTGTGTTTGAACCCTGTAGTTTGTGCAAAAAAGCAGAAATAAGTGCAGACATATCATACCTGTATTGAGGTTAAAATTGAGGAAACATCATATGTTGGACTCCAGCGATTCTGAAGAATATCCAAACATATACTACCATCTGCATAAACTGAACAAAGAAATACAATTATATTTTATGGTCCACTGACACTTAATTCTTGCAATGTGATATATGTACACACTTACACTTAAGGAATCTAATATGCAAAGATTTTATAAATGCAATAATAGGATTTTATCAATGTAAAACTTACCATTAGGGTGAAACATTTTGGAGACAAACCGGACTGTAGGAGGTTTGTTTGGATATTCTTCTGTAAATTCTATTGTTAGTTTGAAAGTTCCTATGACAAGCAGAAAAAGAAAATATGAAGCAAAAACCATTTTCCACATGTAAACAAAAAGAACCATACCATGCCAAATACCATTACACAATTATACAGTGGCACATTTAATCGGTTGTCGTTATTTGGAACCCAAAGCTCAACCCTTATTCAGCAGTCAGTGTGGTTTACATTAAGGTTTACATTATGACATATTAATCTGATCAAAAGTGACAGTGAAGACATTTATAATGTTACTCACTTTGAATAAAAATAATTTTAAAAAGTACTATAATTTTACGTAATATTTTTAAAATACAGCATTATACAAAGGTTTGGGGCCAGTAAGTTTTTAATAAAAAGAAATTGATACTTTTAGTCAGCAAGATCACATTAAATTGACCAAATGTGGCAGTAAAGACTGCCACATTTTGTCACATTGTAAAGACCTAAATACATTGTTACAAAAAAATTTTACTTCAAATGAATGCTGTTTTTTATTTATTTATATTCATCCAAAAAAACAAAAACTACATATTAAGCAGCACAACTGTTAGCACTGATAATAGAGACATGTTTCATGAGCAGCAAATCAGCATATGAAAATGACATCTGCAGGATCGTATGAAACTGACTGTAGTAATGACTGTTGAAAATTCAGCATTGCCATCACAGAAATAAATGACATTTTACAATATATTAAAATAGAAAAGTCATTATAAATAGTAATAATATTTTGCGGTGTTAACTGTACAAATCAAATAAATGCAACCTAGGTGAGCAAAAATCTTTTTTTCTTAAATGAAACAAAATCTTTGAAGCCATTTCTCCAATTACCACATTAAAACTGAAAAAAATATATCAAAATAAACATATAACAGCTTGTGTTTTCTTGACTTACCATCTTCAAAGGGTGTTCCTTCAGGGCTGTAGGCAGAAGAAATGGGTCAACATGTCAGGTTACACAGAACACTTGGCATGACAGCAAGAAACAAAGCCAAAAACACTGGCCAATGTGCAACAGACCTGTGCATTACTATAATCCAAAAATAACAAAGTACACAGTCTACGGATATGACATTATAACCTGTTTCCAACACAACACAGCTCTATTCAGGACACTGTCTGTCACTTCAACGATCAAATAACCAGCACCTCTTATGGGGGACCATTGGCCATCTGGCCTATTTAAAACTGCTTACATTACCGCTAACAAGCTAGATGTCATCTTACAGACCTCGAATAGTCTGAGACAAACAAAATTGTCAGTGTGTTCTGTTTACTGCTCATCGCTGTCAAAAAAAGACAAATGATACAAACCCAAAAATGACAGCGTTCCAGACCATGATGTTGTTTTCCGACGGGGCTCCGCTAACTCCTGCTGGTGGATCCTCCTGGAGACTGAAAAACAAGTTACCCGGAGAAGTTACATTACATATACTACACCTACACCACGACAACACTAAATACCGCACACATGACATCCAAATACATGATCGGAGAGGGATAATGACGTTAATAAATGGCTATTGTGGGGGGGAAAGTCGCCATGTTAAAGCCCGAAAGCAGCCGGTGTTCAAAACGCTACCAAGGGCCTTTAGCATTTTGTGTGCCGCTTACCGTTTAAAATCTCTCATCAGACGCCGTCTTGCTGGGGTTGACATGGTTTAATTGGATAGCCAAGACGTAAACATAAGGTATCGACGTTGTTACTTTGAATCAGGATCAATTCTTTTAGTTCAACAGACGTCGGTTTCGTCGATTCAGTTAAATATCGATGTTAGCCGTTCGC